TGGTTCCATTTTCTTGTCCAAACTGATTTGTGAAATTTGATTTTACCTGCAGTGTTCATGAAAGAATGTAAATGTTGCAGTACTGCAAGGATCCAGTGGCATTGTATTCAAGCAGTAAACGCTACAGTGATTATGAAAACATGATTTTTCTTTTCCCATGCATTTTCACATACTTTACAAAGACAGCATTATTTCCCCGTTATAGATGAAGGAATTGAAGTGTAGAGAGGTTAAGGGACTTGTCTGACATCTCAGAATGAGTCAGAGGCAGAGATTGAGAGAGTCTGGATTTGATTCCTTGTTTATACCTTTATTCACTGGACCATAGTGTTGTTCTCAAGTTCCTAATCCCTTTGTAAGTAACAGATGAGCTGGCTGTTTTCTGTTTTGGATGGTTGGCTGGCATGCATCATTTGAGTGAAACTGCATTTTCCATATACAGACAGTTTATAACATAACATGGCTTACTGGGTGGGCATTTATGTCTCTATAACCAAGAAAAGTAAGAAACGAGCCAAGAGAACAGCTTAATCCTTACACTGAGACAGTGAATATTCCAGTTCTTAATAGCTCTCCCTCAAATCCTTTTTTAATTTATCTTTTATTGAAATATTTCTGTAGGAGAGATTAAAAACTCACAGGGGAAATAATTAATGGAAACAAAAAGTACATACATTCCCATAGAGCAGAATACTATTGGAGGAATTTCATGTCTGGGTCCTGTGCTCAGCCTCTCTTCTGTGAAAGTGCATCCCATGCACATTTATGTTAGCTATTGAAAACTGCTGTTGTCACATTGGTTCAGCCACATTCTCTCTGTTGTCAAATTGGTTCAGCCAATGATTTAAGGATATTTTTAAAAGTGTTAGTTCAATATGTATTGTAGATAAAAAAATAAATTATAATCACTGATCAATGGCGTTAAAATTCCTTTGATTTACTGCTGATGTCTCTGCTCGTAAATTGAAAATTATCAGGGTACAGTACCATAGGACTAGGGATTTACCTATAAAACTGATAGATAGGTCCCTCTCAGCTTTTGGCCCTAGCTGAACACCAGGCCAAAGCAGTTACAAGGCAGAGTTTTCAGTCATCACTTTGAATGCTTTTACACATTTTGAAAATGAAAAAGTAGTGACTTTGGCAGTCCTCTTGTTCAGAGGTCCACTGGGCCAAAACTGAGTCCTGGCACTGCTTGGTTTGCTGGTATTGATGTAACTGTGAACTGCATTATCCTCAGGACAACCAGAGCTTAACAAGGATGTGAATGAGGGATGTAGCCTAGTAAGAACTTGTGAGGAAATAGGCAGGAAAACACCATCTTTGAGGAATTTGGATTTTGATTACTTAATGAAGAGCTGATGCCATCTAAATTAAAAAAAAAAAAAAAAAAAAGTGTAGCTTTTAACAGTAAAATCTCTATAGGAAGTAGCAATTGTAAAATGGTTTTAAGTTGAGGGAGGGAAGATTTAGGTTGGATGTCAGGGAGAAGTTCTTTACAGACAGAGTGGTGAGGTGCTGAAACAGGCTGCCCAGAAAGGTTGTGGATGCCCCATCCCTAGAGGTGTTCAAGGACAGATTGGATGGGGCCCTGGGCAACCCGGTCTAGTATTGAATGTGGAGGTTGGTGGCCCTGCATGAGGCAGGGGGGTTGGAGATTCATGATCCTTGAGGTCCTTTCCAACCCTGGCCATTCTGTGATTCTGTGATACTAGAGTTAGTCAATTTATTAACTAAAAATTTTAGGGAAATACAAGACAAAAACTCTGTAGCAAGGAAAAATTTGTGATACCTCACAACTCTTGCTGGGAAATAGAATTTGAATGTAATCTGTTTATGAATTGTTTTTAACAAAAAGTGCAGCAGCCTTAACAACCGGATTTGATTTTATTGATAATCATTTCATGACATCAAGGAGAGATGCTGAAAGGCAATGTGTTCAGCCTCTGCATCATGCAATATTGCAAAACTGCTGTCTTTGCAGTGTTTTCTGTAAACCAGGAAATAAATGAATTTAAAATTGCGTGAGAACAAACTTGACAATGAAGGGATTTTGCAATATGCAGAAAGATACAGAATGCTGCTTGAGCGGCAGAAGGTGGAGGGAACTGCTTTTTGGGCTGGTTGTGAGATTGTTTGGAGGCTGGAGGAGGATTGAGGAAGTATTCCTTTAAGGACCTCGTCAGATAATAGTGAAAATTTATGGATCTTATTGAAAATCAGACCTCTTCTGTCCAGAATTTCTCAAAAAGAAGTAGATGTATATTTTTTGTAAAATATACTAAAACTATATGATATACAGTTAGCTACCAAATATTAGCATTCTTGGAGTATAAAAACTTGGACCATAATAGTTCATTTTATTTTTCCTTTTCTTCCTTTTCTTCAAGTCTGAAGGAATCGGTAACTCCAGGGATTACACTTAAAACAGCTCCAGACTTCTTAATTACCAACAAAGTCTTTCTCCTCTTTTGGGCGAAGTGGTGTGTGAATCAAATAATTCCAGTAAAGTCAGCTTTTTGTATGAGCTGTTGATAACAAATAAGAAGCTAATAAGGAACAGAGGCTTCAGAAGGGATTTATATGGTCATTAAGCAGCCTTGTCAATTAAAGGTACTTGCAGAATATTTTTTTTTCCCAAAAGGCTCCTCAAAACATTTATTCTGCATCTCTCTCTCCTCTAAATGCCTCTCTTTCTCAAACTGGAAACTTATTCCTCATAGCAAGATATTTAATGTTTCAGAGACATGCCTAAGGAAGAAACCAAGGCCACACTAAGAATTGTAAGATACTTTGACTTTCCCAGCTGTTCACAGCAAGCAAGTCATACCCTTTGATGCTAAGTTTGGTTTCCATGTTTTTCAGAAGGAATGTCTTTTTCTTACTTTTTCAACCAAAGTTTAGCTTTTTAAGTGACCAGGTCTGAACGTTTTAAACTCCGTCCCTCCTTCCCATCTAAGGCTCCCCTTCCCCTTAATAGGAAATGTATCACTTCTTGGAAGTTAGTAATAAGACCTGAACATAAGTAGCAGCCATTGCTTTTTCTATCACTTTTATTTAATGCCTACCTCACTGCATTACTGTTAATATTAATCTCACTATTCCCACTTACACTTTTGATCAAATGAAACTACAGAAATGATAGCTAAGCTTCTTCAAAAACAAATCAAACATTCTAACGAAATAGTGAAATGTTTCAAACATTGTTACTAAAGCCTCTGAAGGAAAATTTTCTTCATGACTTGGAACAAACATGTCTCTGCTTCAATCTTTACAGATTCTTTGTTAGTTTTTTTTTTTCCCATCTGTGTATATTTGCAAAATCACTGGAACTTGTTTTTCTTTTCCAAATGATGATAAAACAAATCTAAAACTTATCTTTTTCATAGTAGACTCATCCCTTTAAGTCCTTCAGAAAAGATATATTCATCTTATTTTCTTATTTTTATACTCATTTTCAAATGAAAGTTAAGGATATAAAGGAGGCCTACAGAAAAGATGGGGAGGATCTCTGTGTCAGGGAGTGTGGTAAAAAAACAAGAGGAAACTTAACGAAGTTACATTTAGAGTAGATATAAGGAAGAAATTCCTTAAATCTCTTTACTTAAATCCTTAAGTAAAGAGAGTGGTGAGGTGATTGAACAGATTGCCCAGAGAAGCTATAGATGACCCATCCCAGGAGGCTTCCAAGGCCAGGTTGGACAGGGCCCTGGGCAGCCTGATCTGGTGGATGGGAGCTCTGCCCAAGGCAGGGATTGGAACTGAAGGGGTTTAAGGTCCCTTCCAATCCAAGTCATTCTGTGATTCTATAATTCCATGATTCTATGATAAAAATTTCCCACAGAATACCTGTTATCTCTGGATGCCTTATTTCAGTGTAGACTTCTAATTGAACATATAGACAGCCCTGGTTACCTAAGGATTATCAGTGATTCACTGATGCTTGAATGTTTCAAGCAGCCTCATTAGTATGATGTTTCAAAGTAAATACATGAAATCAAATGAAAGAATGAATTTTTGATCAGCTGGGTATTAATTTTGCAAGGTTGAATCAGACAGGAATCATCATGTCAGTTTGAAAAGTTCTCTTGTGTTCTTAAATGACACTATAAAAACAATAATTCCAAGTGCCAAAACTTCGCAATCCCTCAGAACTGCTACCCATTGCAGGTGATTTAATCCAGGAATCATTTAATAATAAGAATTATTTAGATTTGGTACTGTACACCTGATTTCTTCTGAAAGCAATGGAAGTTACTGCTGTCAGTTGTATACATTGGAGACCTATTTTAATTCTTGTATGCTTTATGTGCAAGTACTACAAATACTCTCAATTCCTATCCAGAAAAAAGGCAATGCAGAACAGAAGGGATTATACTAGTTTACCTTGCTATCTGCAATACTTGACAAATCTATTGAGCTTCACCTTTCCCTTAATTATGGTGTTTTCCCTCTCTACTATCACTGAGAGATTTCCAAAATTCAGTTCCTTTAGTGCTAGAAGTTTTGTTTCACTTCTAGTTGAAGTTTACTCTTGATCATTTTATAACCATTTGCTTTTGTGTCAGCATTGTTCCTGAGTCTGAATTTTTTTTTTTTTCTCTTCCTTCTGTTTACCTTTTGGTACATTTATGCAGAACTTTAATATCCACTCTTAGCCTTCATTTCTCTGGGCATATTACCTTGCTTCATTTTAGCCTTCCTTAGTAAAATCAGCTCTTCATTCCCTTGATCCCCATAGAAGTTTTTTTTTTTCCCAGAATCTGCTCTAGAATTGATGAATTTTTATTACCCATGAGAAATGAGGATTGTACACAGTATTAGGAATGACTTTTCACTGGGGCCTTATAAAGGAAGTTAACACTTAAAAATTTTATTGTGCCACATGTATTGGAACTGTTAGGCCACAACCTGAAGGAGTGATTGAGCAGCTGGTGAAGAGGCGTGGCCAGTCCCAGGAGCACAAGTGGAAGCGGTTAACCTTTGTGACCCTAACCTCATTTAAAGGCTGGATGCCACAAGGGAAGTGTCTCAACTTAGAGATGACCTCCTTTGGAGTGTTTGCTAAGCCCTGATCCTTAAAAAGGGGTAAGGGTTTCCTTCTTTATTACTTTATTTATGACTTCTATATTTCTTGGGTGATCCAAAACTGATTTATAGTAGCAATATCTGCTTTTGCTTGTCCTTACCCCCACGTTATCTACTTCTGTCCAGTTAATGCTCTCTTTTTAAATAAAAATGTAATTTCTGATACTGCTTTTTAAAAACATGAGCCCAAATGCTAAAATATACATGTGCCCTTCTGGTACAGAGAGAAGGACAAAAAGAGTTTAAATAATCTTTTAATAAAAACAGCAGTGTGTTCTTCACTGGTAATTTGCTTCCATAGATGCAAGAATACAATTAATAACAGTAATTTATTCTGTTTACATGGAGAACTCCACCAGTGAAATAAATATTACAGCTTTTTGTATTTGCAGACTCTATTGTAATACTAGAAGCATCCCCAGACCATTTTGCTGACTTCTGAACTCATGGTGGAAAGAGAGGAAGAAGTCTAGAGTCCTCCAAGTTGTAGTGGTATCTGTGTCAGTATAAGGAAGAAAAAAATGCGTAAGTAAATGAATGTTGTCTAATGAAAGCTCCTAGATCTGTTATGGCCTGAGAGTTAGAATAAAGGAGGCTGAAGAAATGGATAAATCTTGTTCAAATGAGAGAGTAGGTAATTGCTTTCTGGATTTGTCTGGTGACTTTCTGAGGCTTGTAGAAGCTATTTGCCTGGTATCTAGTATGAGGACTAGTAGCTCCTGGGCATTGTTATTATGGTATTTATCTTTTATTCCTACGATAAATATTTTCTTTGTGTAGGAGAGAGTGGACTGCAATCCAGCTCCCTGGCAGGCTGCCTGCCATCCTGACCTACAGGAAGCAGTTAAAATATGTTAGAAAGTTTTCATCTGTCTTTAAATCTGAGCACTTCTCAGAGTAAGACTTCTGTGAAGAGGATTTCCTAAGTAGTCTAACAACACAGTTCCAGTTACCTTCAGGACATGAGGGTAAAGATTTAAGAAAATAGCTTTTCCCATCTGAAATAAAACCCTGCAAAGCTCTTGGTCAGGAGTGTGTGCATAAATAGCCCATCTCTTACAATATGATTGTTACCTATATGCCAGATGCTACCATCCACTTGGAGAAGTCCTGGTTCTCTGTTGATGGAACCCTTTGAGAAATGTTTTAGCCTGCCAAGCAGTGATTTGTTATCAGATGCTGGAAAAAGTCCTGGCATCATTGTGGCTGTCTATAGCCTTACTGAACTGCATTTTGATAAGCATCTCAATCCCTTTTCAAGTTCTGTCCCTTCAGACTTCCTCTTGGGTCCATCTTTCCAGGCAGATCCTCTATCCTCCTTGTAGCACAGGTGATAAGCAACAACAACAACAAAAAAAATATCTCTTTTCATGCTGTCACACCATTATAGGCTATCTTCCAGCTGCAGGCAGAAACAAACATATCTGACCTGCTTGCCTCTTACCTAAACTGTCTTCTGACTTCAAGTGGAGCTACTATTTAGGTGATGAATAACTAGTGTAGCTAGTCTTTTTTTTTTCATGGTAAATCTGGTGAATGCTTAACAGAACCCGAAAGTCTCGTAGCTTTCTTTCCTTTCTATCCTCCAAATGACTAGGTTGAAATTTATGAAGTCACTGTAATTGGATAAAAGTCAAGACTGCAATCTAAGTCTTTGAGAGTTACAAAGGCAGTTCTGGGATTAGGAAAAAGTTGACAGACTTCTGTAGCAATTAATATTTGAATAACTGCTGTCAATATATTTCCCTTAGTAATATATCATTTCAAAGGGAATTTGAGGTGTTATATTCACCTCAAGATAAGCTTGATGGCAGGCTTTTCAAAGTAACTAGAAACTGATAGTTTATCTAGAAATGCCCTGGTTAACTAGCTTAACCAGCTGCCTTGCAATGCTTCTTTGCTGAAGTGTTTTACTCTTCTTGATATGACTATATTTCAGAAAAAATCAAACAAAATGTAAAACTGCCCTGAGATAACAGGATAGAAGGGGAAGGGAAGGGGAAATGGTGCTGCCAAGCATCAGGAACCAAAGTAAGGTTCTGAAGCTAGCACTTCATCACACTAGGGTCCCCTTATTGTCCATACAGGGCAGAAATGTTATCTTATTTTCTCTGAATGCAGTGATATTGAAGATGATTAGACCTCACAGTTTAGTGCCTGTAATTTGGTTGGTCTCTTTGCACTCTTACTGGCCAGATATGCCTTCCAGAGATAGGTGGTGTGTCTTCAGTGCAAGGCTGCAGAGTGTAACCACAATGGGGACTAAGGGTTAATCTGTAATAGACCACAACAAAAGCAGAGGAGTTATGTCAACTAAAGCTGCAATATATATTGTTTAGTAGGTCAGTCATCCTAAGGGTAAATACTAGAAGTGTCACCATAAGTAACGTTATATGGCTGTTTGTATATGGAAAAGATTCATTAAGAATAAGATACCCAACTGTAAAATCTGTGTTTTTTGTTCTAGTAATTTTCAGTTTGCTTTATGCATTTATTCGTAGGACGTGAGATGTTAACTTAGAAGTTACAAGCATTTGTAATTCTTAGCAGTTGGGTCATATTTCTGTTCCTAAACACAGACCTTGGAATTAGAAGTGTAGATCCCTTTCTCTGTTTGAGATGTGCATGGTGTCTACTCCTCCAACTCCTTGATGCTTTTTTGTAAAGTCACTATGTTTGAACAAAGCATGCTGGACTATGCTAGTGGTTTGCATTGATTTTGCTCTGACATAGATTACCAATGTGAGCTGCGAGGTAACAAGGAAAAATCAAAGCAGCAGCCCATTAACATGGGGGGGTGAAGTATAAGCATCCTGATCTTCTATAAATGAATTTCTAGCTTTTGAAATACTTTCAAGGTTTATTCTTCCCATGTTCACTGACTGACAGGTTGCATTTCAGATTAGATACAGTCATACACTTCAGGAGCCATTCTGAAATATTTAACTTTCCATTTTTAAGATTATTGTAGCTCAGGAGTTTGCAAGATAATTAGAAATTTATTGCTGAGCTGGAAGTAGCTAGATAATGTTTCTTAAGGATAGTGGAATTTAAGGTCTTATTAACAAAGGTAGGTCAATGTCACAGAGCTATACATTAGATGGAAAGAAATAATTTATCCTAAAACTCTGGTGAGACCACTGTCATCCACAAAATACTTTTTCATTATTTATGATTATAAAAATAATGTCATAGATTGCCAGCAAAGAAATGTGAAGACTGAGGAAAAAGCACATAGCATTCTGCAATTCAGAGGTGTCTGACTCTACCATCTAACTTGTAACCAGGATAGGGAATTCTGCTAGATAAATGATTGTCACAGTGGTTTTTTATTTATTTTTTTATTTTTTATTTTTTATCGTTGTTCCTTTGTGTTGTAACTTCTGAAAGACTGGCTTCTGCTGCTGTTTGTCAGGGTTTGTTCTGCAATCCCTGTGGTGTACAAGTCACCTGTCTAGCTTAATTTAGTTGAGAGAAAGAAGTGTAAAATACTTATATCTATACTCTGGCAGCTGTCATGAGAAAGAAAACAAATGTTATTTTTATTAGTAGTCAGGTTGCTCTTCCGGTGCAGTGGTTGACATTTTCTGTTGTGGCTTCTAGCTGCTGTCAGCCCTCCCAGCAGTGATTCAGGATCTCTGAGTCACAGCATAGGAGTGGGCTGGGGATTTCTGCTGGCTGGTTCATGTGAGTTGAAGGTTTATATCTGGGTAAGATCCAACCACATTGAAACATCAGAAATGTAGGATGATGAAGGGAACTTAAGCAGTACTTCTTGAATTAATAATAAAGCAAAGATGTTATATAGACACTGTTTAACGCCTTGGCTGAAAGCCTACACCAGACCTAAGCTGGGGTAAAGTTTGAACTAATATACTGTCAAAGCAGTATTTTCATCTAATTCATAAACAAACGAAAAAATCTTATAAAAGTACTGCAATTTAGTCACTGTATAGTGAATCTACATGATGAAGTCAGCGTTTAAAAAAAAATAAAAATCTTATTGTCTCTGAGTTGTAGTTGGAATGGTGTGGAGATGAAGAATTGATCTTTATGGCTTGGTGAATATCCAGGGGGAGTTTATCAAGGCAGTCTTGTCTACCTGGAGTTGAGGCAGGAGGACTGCCAGATCATATGGTGTACTCTCTGCTCATAAAGACACAGATTTTTTTTTTAGCAGTTTTGAAGAAAATTGAGATATATGTCTCCTACTTAAATCTTATGTGAATGAGAAATACAGGCTTCTACAAGTACTAAGATGTCATGGTATGCAATATCAAAAGGAAATAAATTCTGAAATAACCTGGAGAACTAAGGCCCACAGAATCCAGATTCTTTTCAAATGGAATCAATGCTTAAGAAAACCAGTAGTTCTGGTAGTAGAAAGAGTCTGAAGAATATGTACAAGTTTGGATTCTTGTGCCTATATACTATGAAAGAATCAGGAATACTTTCCTTTTAGCTTAGTGACTTATACCTGATATTCTACAAAAAGGATCATTGAAAATACGTAGTTGCAAACCATTATCAAGATACATTTTAGTAACATCATCATAGCCCTGAAATGAGTCCTAGAATTCCTTAACCTTGTTTTTAAGTTAACCTGATTTAAGTCCTTTAAAAGGGAAGTGAATAATGTACTTACTGGAACATGAATAGAACATGTTATTTCCAGTGAATTATTTTTATCATAGTTTTGTCATCTATTTGTTTCTTTCTTTCTCCCTTTAAAAACAAAGCACAGAGGAGAAGAAAATATTTATATTTTTTCATACTGAACTCATATTCTGAAGGTTTTCAGATAGCAGTCGAGAACAGATGAAAACAGATCAAAGTGCTGAAAGAAAACCTGTGAGGTATTTGTGTGTAGCTTTTAGTAATGCCATTATAGAAAGCTAATTAACATGCTCGCAACAACAACAACAAAAAAAAGTAAATAGGTTGGATGTTATTTTATAGACTATTGGGAGTCTCATTACTAAACTAGTACTGTAGGTCTTCTCCTAATTTTTAACTAGGTAACTTCCTACACATAAATACCAATCTAAAAATGTTTTCAAGTCTCTTGCCTGATCGGACTAAAATGCCTGTGCTGACTGAAGAGCTTCAACAGTTCAACGAGAAAAGAAACATACCTTTAATTATACAGACCTGGAAGTGTTTTACTGTCATTATTAACAAAGTTACTTTAATGTTCCTTGAGAAATGATTTTTGTAAAATAAAGAACAAACTCAGATGTATCTCTCTTTTTAAATTTTTTTAAATGACATTTTGGAAAATGCATGCAGTATCACGAAAGGTCTTCATGACCTCTAATTCTATTAACTATAGCATTTTGACTATCTCGTTGCTAATTCCTCTGCATTGTCTACAAGTAATGACTGTACCCTCATCTTACTAACATTTCCCTTTTTCTTCTTGTGATTTACCCCATTTCACTAAGGAACTAAGTAAGTTTATTCTAACTATATTTTTATTATCCTTGTCTGAGATGACTTTATGATTATGAGCTCCCCTGGTATCT